GACTTAGCGCATAAATACATATATGTATATTGGATTGTTACCTTATGTTTTCTCGTTTTTATGAATAAAATTTAGTAAGACAAAATTTCATTGTAGTTTTTCAATGCAAATTGACTTAAATTTTAAGGTTTTATTGAAATAAAAAAACGTCCAGGAATTAGAATTTTTCAGAAATTAGAATCACCCTAAAAACAAAGTGGTTCTAATTTGTGAGCGTCTACTGTACCACTTTATCACTGTTGTTGGTTTTATGTGTTTCTCTTTTAGGTTTTTATTATTCTTCTTCTTCTTCTTTGTGTATAGCTGTTTTTTTTTTACTTTTTATTACATTATTCCAACTGAGGTCGCTTTTATTGTTGTTGCTTGCACTTTTTACTTTTCCATTTGTTGTTGGGCTTTAGTGTCACAAGCAATTTGCTGCCAGAACTCGAAAGTTGGCAAATGAAATTGTTTATAAATTAACGAAATTGAATTAAAAAAATGAGAAGTGCAGGCTTTGTTGGAAAAAAATGTAGGTAATGAAATTTTGTCCTCGCTCCTCGTTAGTTTGGCATTATTTGGTATCTACAAATGTAGGTACATATATATTTATTTGAGTGAAGTGTAGCGCACAGATCAAGACCATTTTTTCGGAGATAGTTAAATTGATGTTAGGCTGCTTTGATTTTTTTAGTTGACCATCAAAGGACTAATGAGAGGACTATACTGCACGTTAGCGATAATTTTATAATCATCGAATTTTACTGCCGAAAAATCGTTACCGTTGTTAGTTGGTCACGTTGGTAGGTTTTGCAATTTTACATTTAAAGGGCGGCTGCTATTTTGTGGTGGTCGCTCCTGGAAGAAATAAAATTTCGGTTAAAAGACGACAAACGACAAATTTGAAAGAAAGCTTTATTAAAAAGATTTCGTCATTTGTTTAATGTTTCAAAAGCTTTAATTGCTTGAAATTATATTGATTAAAAGCTCAAATCAACAATGGTAGAAATTATCTTAAATTATTCGGTTCAATTTATTTATAATAATCTATTTTGCATAAATCCGCGGCTGTCCAAAATTTGCTGCTGTCAAAAAATAGTTCATACAAAACAGTAGATTGGCAAACCTGTCTTATCATAATAAACATATTCACCAGCTTTCGCCACAGATTTTTGTTGCCGATTCACAAATTTTAGTGTTATTTTATGACTAGTCAACGTGGAGGCCGTTAAAACGCCGAAAATTTAATTTAAAAACCTAAAAAATTTTCCAAATGTTAGTCAGAGTTATGAGTGCGGAGTGCCATAAAGAGACTCGCATGCTGTTATTTTTTCATTTCATCAAATTTTAAATCAACCCTGTACCGAAAAAAGGCTATAACTTTAAAAAATAAAACCTTATCTACAGGCCAAGGGTTTTAATTTGACCTCTCAATTTTGAATCGAAAGAATGGTGCAAATCTAATGACCTTCACAAAAACCCGTTCCCGTACAATATATGTATGTATATGTACGTAAAGATGGCAAGCGGAATCAAAGACATTTCGAAACTAAAGCTTTAAAAATCTCCTTTTATTGATACTCACATATTGATTTTCATAAAACTTGTGTATAAGTTAGCTAAATTCGACTTTTCAAACAGGTGGAATGCTTTTCCAAAGGTTTTTCAAACTAAAGTCTTCTTTCATCTCTTTCGTCTGCATTGTGTTACATATTTCAAATACCTGATGAATTAATTTGAATTTAATTTTTAAACCTCCTAAACAAAGATCAGAAATTGAGCCCTTACCACCCCACTTCAATTGATACCCATATTTTGATAGTTCATTCATCTTATTAAATAGGTAAAATTTCATTTCTTAAACACATGGCAACTCTTTTGAAACCTCTCAAAATATTCTGAGTGTTTAAACTAAAAATTTCTTAAGCACTCTTTCGTTTGACATCTTTTTTTTAACATTTCGCATAACCTATATATTATTTTACTAATTTCAACTTTTAAAACAGGTGGCAACCCTCTTCAAATATTTTCAAACTAAAACCTTCTTAAACTTCTTTCGTATGACACCCATATTGTGATACATATGTATGCATTCCAATTACCTAATTGCCTTAATTCAAATTGAATTTGATTTTTTAAACACGTGTCAACCCTTTTAAATACACTGACCCAAAAATCCATCTCTGGATCAAAGAAAAACTTTCCTTACATTAAGGTCGAAAATTCTACCGAATGAGTAAAAAATTCTCCCGAATGCGTAATTTTTCTTTGGAATGTGTAAAAATGTATACGAAAATATGGGACCGTGGATGTAATCTATCATTTTGAAGAAATGTTGGGCATGAAAAGAGGATACAACTTCTTTAGTGCTGTTTCGTTCCCATTTTTCTTCATTTTGATTGCTGTTTTTCTTCAATTAGTAGAAGTTTTTTTTTGGGTGTATATTTCCGAAATAAAGTCTTTTCAATCCCATTTTGATTGATAGCCATCTTATAATAATTCAACCACTTTATTAAGTAACTTGATGTAACTATTTAAACACGTGGCAACCCTCTTGAAACATTCCAAATGTGGAAACTTCACACTCTTTCGTTTGGTACCCATATTTATTATATTTCATATATAACTCGTGTAAATTAAATTCGACTTTTCAAACAGGTGGCAACTCTTTTGGAAAACGTAAAACATTGTTGGACATCTAAAGCTCAAACCCTGTAATTTGATACCTTACTTTTGAAAATCGAACAGACGGTACGGATCTGTTGGCACTGATTATGGAGTAATTTAAGTTAAATTTTTTAACAGGTGGCAACTTTTTTCGAAAAACTAATTTAACTATTTAACTTTATTTTAAACGAACGCCAAAAAATGTCAAAAACCCTAGAAAATGCAATGGGACGACTAATAAAAAATCTTTAGTATTAAAAAATGGTTAAAAAACCAATTGGGTATTATTATTGGAAGTCTCCTGAAGAGAACCAGATCATTAAGATCGAAAAATTTAGATTTTGAAGAATTCTATACCATTTATACGAATAGTTGTTTTTTCTCATATAAAATACTTGGAAAATTTTTAGCGCGTTGAGTGACCTCTAAATATTTTTTGATTTCAAACTAAAAATATAGGGGTATATTTGTTTTCAGTGTAGAACAATCTTAGGGGGTGAGAACATTAAAATTCTGACTTTCCTTTATTTTGGAGCACTCTAGTGTATATAGTTCTTCTCTACAGCTTCCCACTAAATCAGTGAACTGTATTAACGTAGCATTTTCTTGCCAGAATACAGCGCGCTATAGTAGGTCTTTTTAACTCGGTGTTCTGTGTTCATTTTCCATAAATTTCGGTGTAAGAATGACCCATAAATACTTAGAACAACAGCAAAGAGAAAGAGTATGTCCCTTCAAGGCAGGTAGGTTGAAATTAGGAATAGTAGTTTAGTCTTCGAGGGATTTACGTTGAGAACACAGTTCGCTGTTCAAGAACTCTGTGCTCTTTGAAGCATTCCATATATCATATGAACCTACACGAGAGACTTATAGGTCTGAAGTCCTTAGGCAGCGTATGTCCTCTCTTGTCTACCTTGGGAATGGGCACTACTTGAACACTTTGCAAAGTAAACAATTCCTGCTTAGCCTTTCGAATTGGCTATAGGCGTAGGCTGAATGTATTTCTTCATATTTGGGTAATTCCTACTATTGTTAACTCTTTGTTCACTCGCTTATTCCTTACCGAGAATTTGCAATTAAAAATTTGACAAGTTTTAGCAGGTGATGGAAGGTAGCAGTTGGATTTTGAGTATTCCAGATCTACTGGGAAAATTTTATAAAGAAAATATATTTGTGTACATATATAATTTATCAAATTGCTGGAAAAATTCAGGCTCCAGTGAATTATGAACATTAAAGTTCAGTTTTGAACCACTGTGCGATGCTGAAAAACCTTATTAAAACTGGCACGAAGGGCTAACCACCACGTCAATAATGCTTTGCTTGGAACGACTTCTAAAGAGCGAAATACACCACACAAGCGGTTTGACAAACCAAGCGAAATTTCCCTTTGCTTCAAGCCATTTGTGCTGTGTATGGGGGTGTTTGAAGGTTTGACAAACCGCTTGAGGGAAATTTGAGCAAAAATCAAAATTTTTTGATTTTCTGGCCGCCATGTTGATGTTTGATCAAACCGCTTGCGTTGTGTATAGCAAAATCGCCTCATTCGCAACGAAATTTTCACCGAGTAAGGACGTAAGAGAGGAAAATGAAAGAAAACCATAATATTTAGCATTGCGAACTGGAAGAAAACTAAAATTCTTTGCTTGAACGAGTCATGTTTGCATGGTGTATGGCGAAATGGGAAAAGTAGGTTTGAAGAATGTTTGACAAGCCGCTTGTGTGGTGTATTTCGCTCTTAAATGACGCAGCAAGTGAGTTCTGAAAATCCTCCCTAAAAAACCGGGTCAGTCCAGTGCACCTTCCTCAATTTTAAATAATTTATGAAGAGTGTAGCTGAAATTAGTGCAGATTTTCAAACTCTTGGAGCCCGTTAGTAGTAATTGACAGCTCACCCTAGAAAAAAGCTAGAAAATTTAAAATGCAATTAAAAGAGGTATTTTGAACTTTGGGCCCAAAATATGCTCTAAAAGGCCAAACCATTAAGGTATACTATTTTTTCCTTAGAGTTGTTAATGAAAAACTTGCTTTAATTGCAAAATACTTAATTTTTTTTTCGAGTTCTCAAGCAGAATGAGCAATTTTAAGGAAGCCACAATTCAAAACATTGTTCTACCACTTAACTTTGGACTAGACTAACGAGCATTTTTTTCTGCATCCCAACACAAAATTCCTATTAATCTTTTCACTACAGTAAGTCAATTAAAAGTCGCAAATTTAGCTCAAAAGTTTTATTTATTTTTTATTATTATTTTTATTTATAAATAACAAACAGCGCTCAGCTATAACTCATATCCGCACGAAGTCCTTGTAGTCCTGGTCCATTAACGATTGCATTGGAATCAATAAGTCTCTCAATAAACATAAGCTGGGACGGGTGCGGTGTAAGCACCGGCTGAACCGTATGATGCTGGGGCTGGAGCTGGAGCGGAGCAAGCGACTGGAGCCAAGTGAGGTTGACAGCTGAAGAGATAGTTCTTGGGGCAAGGAGGTGCTGGAATGCTGGGAGCGGCACCGTAGGCTGATTTACGATAGCGGCTCAAGTCGTGTAAGGCCTGCACGTTAACCGCTTGCACATTCTGTTCCGCCTTGGCATCTTGGTCGGCCGAAGCGGAGCTACCGCTGCTGGATGGTGCGGCCAAGACAACGCTGAAGATGGTGGCGAACAAAGCAATAGCTACGAAGAATTTCATGGTGAGATTGGTTGTGGTTTGTTGGTTCTTGTAATAACTGGAACTATGAAGCTGCAGAAGTGAACTGATGATTTATGTTAGCCAGCGGTGTGCCTTTTATACTAAATGTTATTTTGCTTATTCTTATTATTATATTATTTAATGCTTTGCGCTTGATTGCTGGTGCAGCAGTTTTTGCTGAGGTTAGCGAAAATTCTTCAGCAACGCATTGGATTTTTTTTGCTTGCGCTATAATTTTGCCGAGTTGTAAATTTCGATCAATGAAGAAAGTGAGTGTGTACGAAATGAGTTCGACCGGTAGTAACCTAGTTTTTAGTGTCGACGTTCTGTTTTTTTTTTGTTGATTCTCGTAGATTTTATGCAAGACTTTTCTGTTGATTCGGTTAAATTCTAAACCTGTTTAGGTGAAGGTCCCTTACATATGAACTGGAATTTTTGAGCGCCATGTTAATTTAGGTCATGCAAGTGGGTACGTTTGTATGCAATTAATCATAAAGCAAAATTAAAATATTATTTCAGTGAATAAATATTTTTCTTTTAATATTATGGCAGATGAAAGTGTATCTAGTATTTATGTATTAAAATTTCGAACTATTATAAACTTATTGAATTGAAAATTTTTTTTTGGAAAATTTTTTAAAAATTTTTTTTTTAGAATAAAAAAATAATTAGAAAAAGTTTTACATCGTTTAGAAAAGCTTTTGTAAATCTTTACGGAAAAACCAAAAAAAATTTAATTTTTATTTTTTTATTTTTGGAAAATCCAAAAAAATTGGAACTTCCGAGTTTAAAGTTTGTTTTATTGCAAAATTTAGATATTTTCTTTATATTTCTTTTTTTTACATTTCAGACCCAATTTTTAAGTACATATTTTCAATATGTATCATATCGAAGATCTATTACCACGATCACGCTTATATAGTTATAGAACAGGCATCTTTCTATTCGACTCGAATCTTAAAGCAATTTAAAAAATTATAGTGCATCTGGTTTCTTTCTGCTGAAGCCGAATTGCAAGTTCATATGAAATAAGTGCCCCACTACTTTTTCTTTAGTCGCACAGCTTTTACAAGTTAAAAGTGAAATCGCTGCTAAGCTGCCACGCTCACGCATCACTGGGATTCATTACAGCTCAGCCAAGCAATTTAAAATTTACCTGGTACGAGTATTTTTGAGTCGAAAATAACTCACCACACTGGGGAACAGTTTTAAGTAATTTATTAAGGCCTCAACGAAGACCCAAACATTTAGATTCATCAATGCCTGGTAGTTAAAGTTCATTTTAAAGGCTCCTATTTTTTTGTGAGAAGTTACTCGCCTTTCAAGCAGTTTTATGCAAGAATTAACTTCAGACAAAATTATGCAATAAAATTTAGGGAGACATTTTTCGGCATTTTCAGGATATTCGAGATTACTTCGTCAGTTTTAGGATTTTCAGGACTACATTTCAGAAATATTTCTAGATCTTCGTAGAAGTAGTCTTCTGTGTATCTACTTATGATTTTTGGGATTCTCGGGACTACTTCGGGACTAATTCGGGATTTTCGGAACTATTTCGGTATTTTCGGGGCTCTTTCAAACTTCTCATGATTTTCGGGATTCTCGGGACTGTTTTGGGATTTTCGACATTTTCAGGATTTTAGGTATACTCGGTGCTATTTCGGGATTTCCGGGACTATTTTCAAACCTGCTTCGGAATTATCAGGACTATTTTGGGACCAGTTCGCTAAGGTGAAGTGAGGTAAGTTTAAGTAAAATGAGTTGAGCTTCTTCTCTTTTTTGCTGTAACCAACTAAGCGATTTTGGCCAGCATGCCAGTCATTTCTCTTCTGTGCCAACTGACACCTATTGAAAATGCCAAGTGAAGACATGACCATGCCAGCGTAGCCGCTGTATTTTATGCCTCCGCAATATGTCTATGTACATTAGACTGCATCACTCCCCATACAAAAAAAAATTGCTACTATTTTTCCATTGGAATTATAAAATCTATTATATTTTAAGACGTCCACCAAAATATTTCGGAAAAATATTAAGATTTAAGTGAGCTGGACCGATTTGAAAATACCTCCAAAAATGAATAAAAATAGTTTCTTAAAGATTTTTTTTTGAAAAAATCCTCTCAAATGACAAAACGGCTGAAGCTTAAAAAATCTGCAGAAAAGTATTTAAAAAAAAAATAAAAAAAATTTTGAACGGAATCGTAATGATGAGATTTTTGTTGCTGTTTTTTAACTTTCTTAAATATTGGCATAACAAAAACTTGAATAACTGAACCTAAACTCTTCCGATTTAGACTTAGGAGATGTCATTAGAAAGGTATTTTCTCTACCTTTTTATTTCTTTGCTAATAAACTCATTCAAAGGACGGAAGAGAAAGGTAGGATGAAGGAACGTCATTCAAAGTTGAATTAAGATGTGTTGGTATTTGAAAAAAAAATATTGGGACACGAATGACTTTTTTTTGGACAGAAATAAAAACAGTGTGAAAATACCTTTCAACTGAGATCCCATAAGTCTAAATCAGAATAGTTTTGGCCCAGTTATTTAAGTTTTTCGTAAATCAATCTTTGAAAAAAGGAAAAAACAGCATCAAAAATCTCATTCTTACGATTCCGTTTAAAAGATTTTTAAATATTTTTATGCAGATTTTTTAAGCCTAATCTCTTTTGTCATCTGAGGGGACTTTTTTCAAAAAGTTCTTTAAGTAACTATTTGTATTCATAAAAAATTACATTTTTGGAGGTATTTTCAAATCGGTCCAGCTCACTTAAATCGTAATATTTTTCCGAAATATTTTGGTGAACGTCTTAAAATAAAATAAATTTTGTAATCCCGGCGGAAAAACCGCAACTTTTTTTGGTGATGCAGTCTAATGTACATATATCATTGTAAAGCTCATACAGCTTTTCGTTTTATCGACTGCGGTATTTGCCATCGCTATCGCCAACGCGCAAATATCCGTAAATCTTACCCCCGAAAACTGCAAGAGCCGCCCCATCCGATGATTTCATTGTCCATGCTTCTGCGCCATATACCAGCACGGGCACGATGAGTGACTTATAGAGTGTGGTTTTCGTACGTCGAGAGAGCACTTTACTCCTGAATTGCCTACTCAGTCTGTGTTGGATTTCGAGGCTGACATTATTATCGGTGTTAATGCTGGTTCCCAACTAAACGAAGTTCTCTACTTTTTCGAACTTACTTGCATAAGTGTCAAATGCGACGCGATTTCTGAGATGCGTATGCTCTGATTGTTTATATGATGACCAGTGAGATTAGATGATCCCAAAAAAAGAAGCTAGAGTAACTTAAAAACAGATAAGCAAAAGTGAGAGGCAGTGAAAAAATAAGCTTAAAAAAGTCAGGCACTAAACATATTTGTTGTCCTAAATTCTCGATTTGTCCCAGTATGCGACCTAAGAAAAACATGCTCTATTTAATGAAGGGGAAACGGAGGTACGAGTTCTTCATATTTTTACATTGGTGTTGAATTTTCGAACTATTGAAGATGGGTCGCGGTACTCTTTGGAACTTTTTTTTATAACTCTTGTTAATATAAAAATTTTAAAATTTTTTAAATAAAAAATGGTGTTTTATAAAATAAGTATTATAACACCATCAGAAAGGGAGTCGTCCTGCCTGAAACCTCGTTTGGTATCAAACAGCTCGGAGAGGTCCTTTCCAATTCTGACGGAGCTGGAGGTATTGCTTAACGTCATTAATAAGGCTGTGCAATTATTAGTGTCGCGGCGATCGGCGGAAGAAAAACTTTACTATTCTTTCAACACTTTTGAACCATTAAGATCTAAGTGAGAATTACATTGAAAATACATTACGAATTAATATTTGATTCAAAATTTCAAGATCTTTAGTGTAAATATTTTATGAAAAAAATTCAAACTTTAACAGAGGGGAAAAAATAAATAATAAAAAATTGTTCGTACATTTTTTCATTTGTATTAAACCCCTTTTAGCAAGTTTTGCTTAGAATTACACGCCCTAATGTACATACATACATTGGTTTTTATGTCTTATCTAGCACCTGCCTTCCATAGCGGATGTGACATGATGGTTTCGTTGGCCAAGCTTACCAATTTATTTGCCAAAGTAGCAAATTGTATCATTATTGCCATAAAACTCGTATGGCTGCTGTGACCGCTTGTGTGCTGCTGTATTAGAGGGCCTGTTCATGCAAAAATGCGTTCCCATAAATAAATAATGCCAACAATGAAGCTAAGCGCTGCCTTTACGCGGGGAAGTGTATTCTAACCCTAGAAGGCCGCTGGCTTTAACTTGTTATCTACCACGATAGAATGTCGTAGAATGCCGTTGGACAGGATGTGGAGGTGTTGGTTTTGTGTAAGTAGGAAGAATAAAATATAAATTTTGTATGGAGGAAGAACCAATACGCTCTGTAATTTGGCGTAAGTAAATTGAAGTTGATAATGATTAGGTGCTTTTGTTAAGTAATAATTACGGAATGCAAAGCTAAATATGTAAGAAACTTACTTACTTACTTATTAGGTGCTTTTGTTAAGTAATAATTACGGAATGCAAAGCTAAATATGTAAGAAACTTACTGTAAGGTAATGAAGTCACGCGATAAAATCAGGAGCGATCCTCGATTTTACCGGGGTATAAGCCTGCTTCCGGTACTTGGCAAAGTGCTGCAGCGGGTTATGGTTGAGAGACTTCAGGAGCTAACGCGGAGTAACATGTCGGATAGGCAGTATGATTTCAGGAAAGGACGTAGTACAAAGGATGCTTTTTCATAAATGTGCAGCGTTCAGTATGTCCTTGGCATATTTGTTGAGTTTAAAGGAGCGTTTGATTACTTGCGATGGGACAGAGTCGTTGAGCGCTTGCATCAGCTTGAGTGCGCGGATACAGCTCTCTGGCGGAGTTATTTCTCTGACCGAAGAGCCACCATGGTTGTCGTGGCAGAGACTGTCAAGGTTGGGGTGAATCGAGGCTGTCCGCAGGGGTCCATTCATTTG